TCCATGTTGGCTGTATGTCCTGTTTGGACTAAATGGTCTAAGATGGAGCTGTTAACATTTTTGACAACACCTTTGCTCAACCACACATTTGATAATTCACAAAAACATACGTCCAATATTAATTACATTGAGGTTTGTAGAGAATGTATTAATTTTAATGGTAGAATACATGAATCGATTGAAGCTAGAACATCACTGAAACTCTAAAAGCACTGGACGGTCGTTTTGTCACAGTGTGAGAATCCTCAGCATGATGCCCCACGTTGGATTCGAATGCAAAACATTCAGTCTTGCGCGCAAACTCTTAATTTTTAGACCATTGAGCCGATCGACATCCAACGATGTTATTGTCTAACTCCAATCGATTTATGATTTACTCAAACATCCATCCATTTTCTGAGGTAGATACCTGTCTCTACCCTACACAGTTTGACTCTATTGGTCATGGACTATCACTAGAACTCCAGAAAATGCATCTTGAAGGTAGTTTATAATGATTCTGTATAAGCTAATTTCAATCAGCATGACTACATACGAAAAATCAAGACATAAATGTCTACATATACAACATAGATTAAAATATACACAAACAAATAAGAACTGAGCAAAGTACTCTGAACAATTAGTAGTGGTAGTAGTAGTGGTAGTAGTAGTAGTAGTAGTAGTAGTAGTAGTAGTAGTAGTAGTAGTAGTAGTAGTAGTAGTAGTAGTAGTAGTAGTAGTAGTAGTAGTAGTAGTAGTAGTAGTAGTAGTAGTAGTAGTAGTAGTAGTAGTAGTAGTAGTAGTAGTAGTAGTAGTAGTAGTAGTAGTATTAGTAGTAGTAGTAGTAGTAGTAGTAGTAGTAGGAGGAGGAGGAGGAGGAGGAGGAGGAGGAGGAGGAAATGAGCAATCTACACTGTTTCATACAATTCTCTTCAACTGAATCGTCGGTTTATTCAACTTGTCAATGAACATCATTAATATTGTTGAAATCTCCTCATCCTTATTTCAAGTTTATCAAACTTAGCTAATGCATCTGTCATGTATTATTGCAAATAATTGATAAACTTTATAAATTTAATTTTGTCTATTCTGTCTTCTACAATTTTGCTGCGGTTGCTATCAAGATTTAGTAGTTTTAGTCATGATCAAAGTTATTTCAACTTCAGTCTGAACAGACAGAACTGTTCCCGCGTAAAACATATTGGTATGGAACCTAACGACATTGCTGCCATACGTTATTTAATCGGCTAGATAGAAGAGTGAACGAGCAGAATATGTTAACGATCACTAATAAAAATACTGAAATGGTGACGAATTTGTTGACTGAAGTGTAGAGTCAGTTCATAATATAGAAGACTATAAGTGGGCAAATAAAAAACTAGACACTGTTTTATTTGTTAGATGTAGTTTGTTCTCTTTGGTCACTACTAGATTCACAATTCTAATAAGTCATTTGTGATTCCAAAACTGCCACTTAATTCAGAGTAATATATCAAATATAACTCATTGATTTAGAAATAGATGTAAACTGTAAATTTATGTGACAATTTTATGAATAATCTCTTCCCCTTCTTCAGACAAGGCTGATTACTCTCCCACTTCCTCGATGTCTGGGGGCAAGCACGGAATACAATGGACAGCTCGGAATCAATTAGAAGATTTGAGCCTCGAAAATGAGCTGGCCCTTCTATCCCATACCCATCAACAAATGCAGATTGAGACAACTAGTGTAACAGCAACCTCTACACCAGTATGGCTCAACATACATAAAGGAAAAAGCACGATCCTCAAATAAAACACGGAGAACACAAACCCAATCACACTTGATGGAGAAACTCTGGAAGCTGTGAAGTCTTTCACTTAACTGGGAAGCATCATCGATGAACAAGGAGGATCCGATGCAGATGTAAAGGCGAGGATTGGCAAAGCAAGAGCAGCATTCCCACAGTTGAACAACACGTGGAACTCAATACAACTATCTGCATGCCAACATCAAAGTCACGATCTGTAATACGAACGTCAAGACAGTTCAACTGTACGGAGCTGAAACGTGGAGAACTACTACAAACATCATCAAAAAGGTACAAGTATTTGTAAGCAGTTGTCTACACAGGATATCCGCTGGCCGAATATAATCAGCGACAGCTTAGTGTGGGAGAGAACAAACCAGACTCCATCTGGAGAGGAAATTAGGAAAAGACGTTGGAAGTGCATAGGACACACATTACGGAAATCACCGAACTGCATGACGAGACAAACCCTAACTTGGAATCCTAAAGGGGAAACGGAAAAGAAGATGGCCGAAGAACACACTACGTCACGGATTGGAAGCAGACATGAAAAAGATGAATATCAACTGGAAAGTACTTGAAAGGATTATCCATGACAGTGTTGGATGGAGAATGTTGATGTGTGGCCTATGCTCCTCATCGAGGGCTAAGTAAATGAATAAATAATTAATTATTTATTTAAGTAATAAGCAGGAAAGTAAGTAAGTAAGTAAGTAAGTAAGTATATGAATGATCTGTCAATATAGCAGCTGATTATATTAGAACCAGACTGTATAAACAGTCATATGTTTGTGGGCGACAATCAGCATCATGAAGCAGAATGAAAATTTCAATGGAAAAGTCAAGGTCAAACGTGGACAACAAGTTTTCGTCATTACTAATGATTCCATAAATCAAGTGATATGAAAAATGTGAATGACGAATGAATGACAGAATAATAAGCCTATGTCAGCTATCTCAAACAAATATGTACACGGCGTATTAACAAAATACTTGATTACGTACCCTTAATTAGTTCAGTCCTGCTGAATACCTACTGAGTTTATCCATGCTACTGCATTGTTTCCTAGATCTGAAATTAAAACACAGCTACTTTAAGTTGTAATACCACTCATTATGACAAATGTTATCGAAGGTAGCTTCAACAGTGAAATTTGTTTATGTTTATTTAAAAAAGGAATTAGTAGTGTATCATAGGTTGAAAAAAAACACTGAAGTTCATTGCAATAAGGAAAATCTGAATATAAATCATAACCATGTGTGGAAAAGTCAAACAACAGAAAACTGAATAGGTTGTGAATAGTATTGTTGTGACAAAATAAATATTAGGGAAATGGTAACTTGAGGGACTATTTTACATTATATATATGTTGCATAATCATTAAATGAATGGATTATTATATATGTGCACTTTCTTTATCATAAGCTTCCGTTGGACTCATTGACTGTTCATATATGTCCCACCATGCCTTAATTGTTGTTGGTTGATTATTCATCTTATGCCACATTCTGTCACTTACAGCTTGATAATATATGTGGAGTAGGATTTTATTCCTCGGGCGTGTTGTGATCTGATGATTCCAATATAGTACCCATGATTCTTTGAAATATAGAAGCTCGTCTGCTTTGTTCTCTTACTGGGTTCAGTATTGGGATACAAGAAAGTCGTGAGTTTGTCGGACCAGTACTTACATAATTACTTACGCCTGTCACCCCTCGTGGAAGAGTATAGACAGCCCACCAGCACTCTCCATTCAACCCTGTTCTGGGCAATCCCTTCCAGTTCCTTCCAGATGCTATTCATCCTTTTCATGTCGGCATCCAATTCGCGACGTAGTGTGTTCTTCGGCCTTCCTCTTGGTGAACCAGTAGGTGTTAGATTATTCCGTCACCTCTCCAGCTTAATTGTGTCAGTTTAGCCCAATTATTGGTCAAGTCCACATCATTATTTTGTAGATGAGATGGTATACTCGAGCCAGGGACATAACTCCAGATTCTGGTTGATGAATCCACTCCAGTAGATCGATTAAGAACTTTTTAGCTAAACCAATTACATAAAAGTTTTATTAATGTAAAAGTATTTTCTCTTATTATTCCTTATTAGCATGTTCAACAATGTTGTTGATGTGAATTCAACTGCTAAAAATGTACTACTTACTCTATACAATGAACACAGACAATGGTTCTTTAACATTTTAAATTGTTGCCCATTGAATTTATATGAAAAATTCAATATTTTCACTTCCAAAGAAAACACCTAAAACTTTGTGTAGAGTAAATTATTCAAACGCAAATCCACAATTTCAATATGGTCTATCTAACTTCAGTAATTTCATAATAAGTTGGAACTGCCATTCAGTCTCTTTGATGAGCTCTCTTTCCTCTTATCAGTATCAAAGAAGTATTCACTATTAGAAATCCAATAAAATGAAAATGTAAATTGAAATAAAAACCAGAGTATACGGATTTAAAAGAAACTTAAGCTGCACCATATATATATATATATATATATATATATATATATATATATATATATATATATATATATATATATATATATATATATATATATCAATGCTAGAGTAATCAGCTGAGTAACTGGTTGCAGCACTTTGTATACCACTTAGATAATAAATTAGTTACTTCATTTTCCTTCTAAGGAAATAATTATCTGACATTGGTGTACCTCGAATAATTATTTTACAACTATTTTAGTAAATGAAATAAGTTTTAGTTTAAGCATTAATTGGTATGATCGGATCGCTGCTAGAAAAAAGAAAGCAAATCTACATCTGTATCATTTTCTTTTTATCAACGTTTTGTAATAACCACAAGTATTACGTAACATAACCAAGTTAACATGCATAATGATATCAATTACCGAATTTAGCTAACTGATTTATAGACAGATAATTAAAGATGACCTGATTGATTTAATAAATGTAAATGGCATTGTGTCATTTATCATTGATTAAGTAATTCACACATTACACAATTAGTACAGAATAATTAAATATTGAGAAATAACTAAGTCAAACTACCAACAATGACAACAACAACAACGAAAAAACATAAGAAAACAAGATACTGATGAATGTCTTAAAGATAAGTCAAATAAAAACATGGAAAGTATTTATCATCAATGTGCTGAATGAATAACAACGACCACAACATCAAATTACACAGTATTCATCTTCTGGAACTAAAGATTTTCAAATTTTATAAAAATTAATTTGACAATCTTCTTAAACGACCAATGTAAGGTAGATAAAAGCTTCCAGTGTATAAAGTATCATCATGTTCTAGTACTTCACAAGCATTTGGTAATTCATTTTGAAAATCTTTCCAAATTTCAATTATCTGTCCATTTTCATCTAAACGAATTAACATTGATGATTTTCCTTTCGGGATTAGTGTGAATGGAAGCATGGAGATAATCTGTTGCAAAGATAGAAAAAAATAATGAAATACTGAATTCTTACTTAGTTTGGTGGGAAATTGCATAGAAGTTTAATATGTGTCACTAGATTCTCTGATCTACCTGTATCATAATTCATTTTGAAGGTATTGTGAAGTTTATTTTACTTCGTAATTAGCTTTAGCTACAGATTCACATTAGTTAAGGTACCAGTGAAAACCAGGGAACATTTCTCAGTTGTTCCGTTGCAGTGCAGAACCCCTCAGCGTTTGCCCCTGCTAAGGCACCGATATAGAATCGTTTGATCCCTATTCATTTTCTCTGAAATGAGTTCAGTAGGTTTTACTGGGAATTCAAGACTGGTGGAGGTCAACCATGCCGGTAATGAGACAGTCTTTCTCAATGCCATTATGTGATTGTACTGCCATGTCATTAGTTGGTTGAATTTGAAAATGTCTACATACACTCTTATAGGTTTAATACTCGACTGCCAAAAAATTCAAAAATGGATTGACAATAAGATGGAAAATATTGATTATAAAAATGCAGGAATATTATTAACCGTACACTGGAAGCCAACTGACGAATACAAGGATAAGCTGGTAGATAATTGAGTAGAAGTTCAGATAGAGGCTCGTCACGAAGAGGTGATACAGGGACCCAATATCCACCACGTGGACTGGCTTTGATATTATCCGGAAAACCAGGTAGCCCATCACTGAACACGGTCACTTCACCTCCGTCTAATGGAATTCGTAGAATTTGAAGTTTCATTGTTTCAACGAGTAATATGGATTTTCCGTCACTAGAAATTTCGATTCCGTTGGGAAAGCGTAAACCATCCATTATGTGACTGTATTGACCAGGTAAATGAAAGCTCACATCTGTTTATGAGTTTTTCCACCAAATGTGATTGTGTTGGTGCTTCCCGTGTCGTATTCGAGTAACTCCTCCTCTGAAACTTGTCACTATGCTCAAAGTGAATTAATAGCCTGTGTTCTTTGCTCCTAAATTGGAAAGAATGTAAAGGAACCGTTAATCATTTCCATGACGTCAATCATCTATCAGATGGATTCGTTCATCCTGCTTCATTGCTGAAAAATATTATGAAAAGGCTTGAAAGCTTTGTGGGTGACGCCAAATCAATGAAGATACGTGAAAGGTAAATTGAATCCTGCGGATCACGCATCGCGTGAACTATCGCTGAATGATGAAGTTAAGTTAGGGGAGGGTTAAAAGGGCAGGGATTTATGTGGATGGAAGAAGATAAATGACCTAACCTAGAAAAAGGTGAGAACACTGTGGCCCATGTATTGACACAGGATTTCGGATCCTCAAAATTCAATGATTACTTTCTAGATTGATTTCGTACGTGTAAGTCATGTTCCAGATAATTAAGGGTGTTTTTATACTGCAGACGGTTTATCGACAATACGTTGAACATGAAGAATGGACAATGTCTAACCTTAGTCGCATTAAGTGTTGAGGACATAGCTGGCTGACCACGAGGTAGTGATTAATGTAATGTTTGTCTGATTATTTAGTGCTTATCGAATTCTATAGGTCAAGTTACAATATAGCCAATAGTCTAAGTGACTCGACATCGTGTTCACTACATCGAGATGATGTGAGGTAGTGCACGGGAAAACCTCACTCTAAACTTCGTACTGTTTAACACATTTCAACGAGGCGTACCTGTCATCCCACAGTGAGTGTCGTTCCCCTCAAGTTTACATGCACACCATGCTGGTAAGTGCTGAGTGGCATGAAACTTGCATCCAGGGTTTCCTTTCAACTACTTTCAACCATCTGACATATCAGAGTTTCCCTCTAATTGATCACAATTGTCATACACTAGATTCATCGTTTCATATAACGTGTCAAACTAAACAAAATAGATGATCACTTTAAAAAACTATCAAAATACCAATCAAATTAAGAAACGCTTAATAGCGTATGTTTATATATTTAACGTTGGTCATAAGACCAACAATAATATGTTCTATTGTGTAACGCACTCTGGATAATCTGTTTGTGAAATGACCTTTAGGTCAGTAAATTCACGTTCAACAATGCAGCAAAATATGACCATATATGTACTTTTTCAAAGCGATCTTAGTCTATTTATGTATATATAATAAGCTTAATAAATGATTCTGTTGCTCTCAACCATAAAAAACTGTTTTAATGACAGAACTGAGAAAACTTGGTTTTAGTTCAATAACAGTCATTTGTATTGGGTATATAATACTCTGTTTTCTGAATAAATCAACCGATTCATATACTTATCATGTTAATCCATCCATTGAGCTGAATGACCAACTTATTACAAATAAGAAATATGGAAAGTTAGAAAAGATTGATTTAATGAATTACAGTGGCGCTGAAAGTTTAATTTATCATGATGGTAAGTAGTGTAGTTTTGTTTAGTTTTCTTAATTGGGAAATTATCCAATAGGTTCATTGTATGCCACAGTGATTCAAGGGAAAATATTAAAAATAAATGATTCTGGGATTTATGTTCATGCAACACTTGGTTCACCAAACTGCGGTAATATTGTTCTTTATAGCTTATACCTTAACTAATACACCAAATATTTAGTTGGTGTACATGAATGTGGTAGACCATTAGGTTTAAAATTGTTCAACAATTCGGAGAATTTCTTGGTCACGGATGCCTATTTAGGTGTATTCTCTGTCTCGGTAAAAGATGGTCAGTTCAATAAACAATAATAATAATAATAATATTGATTATATTTTTGCATCTTTTAGGTAGTGTGAAAAAATTGTTCCCATTAGATGAAGATTTCAAAGTTACATTTTTTGATGATTCGGTAATGTTACCGAACGGTAGTCTTGTTATTACTGAAGCTAGTACAAAAAATACTTTACGACATTTATGGACAACAATTTTAGAGGGACTACCTAGTGGGAGGTAATGACAAGTTTTTCACAAATGATCTGTATTTCAGTGGTTTAATTCATACCTATTTTTAACTAGGTTTAGGATGATGATACTTTCTTCATGAATTTTGTCCTGAAATATGTAAACATTTAATACTAATTCATCAGAGCTAGTCAACGGAAAATCATCGACCCAAGTTATGTATTAGTTGGGACTCGTCGAAAACACGTAACACAAGTCTCAAGCAGCCAATTTTTCAAAGAGACAGCCTTACAAATAGACAGTCGCAAATACTTCTTCAATAATGGCATATTTGATTGTGATGCTCGGTGATACGGTTTCGGAAAACGTAGATAGAATAGACTATGTCGAAAATGCAGATATAATACCTGATTATCACTACAGGACTAGGCAATAAAATACTGTTGACTAGTCAATGATCGGTTAGTGTTAATAAAATAAGAAATATTCTACTTGATTTGGCATATTCCATCTGGTCTTATTAAGCATCAGTGTATATTTGATTTCCTAACTGCAGAATTATCCATTGAGTTGTAATTAGAAGACCAAAGCAAAACATTCAGTGTTACCAATAAATTTCATGACAACAATTAAATCCCTAACTCTCAAGACAAAAACGTGTTACACAGTACCAGGCATTGATAAATGTATCCTTTCAGTCTTCGGTGTCGATTTTTCTGGAGAAATTCAGCACAACTGATTAGTGTTTACTGAACAAGAATTATCTTTAAAAGATTAAATGAAATATACGTTTGTATTACTGCAGATATGTAAAAGCATTGATACCTCTTTTCTTTTGACAATGAGTCAGTTCACAATTAAGTCTTTTAATGCTGTTAAATAACCACCAAATAACTTGGTTTGGATACAACGAAACATTATTCGAATGACCACCGGGAACCAAAGGGTTGTATCCAAATATCACATTATTCTTAGTAACGTTTATACACGTAACCACGAAAGAAATAAACCTAAAAACATACAAAACAGATATGGACAAAACAATAGACTTCAATAACTGTCTAAGCTATAATAAGATCAAATTAATGCGATGTACTTTAGAACCTTCATGAAATAAACTTTGAATACGCCTTCTAATCATTTGTATTTCTGGAACACGAATCCTCATTAATGTAGGTTTCTTCTCTAAACATTTCTCTAGACTAACAATGGCTGATACAAAAACTGGTCAATACAATCACATAATGGATGGTTTACGCTTTCCCAACGGAATCGAAATTTCTAGTGACGGAAAATCCATATTACTCGTTGAAACAATGAAACTTCAAATTCTACGAATTCCATTAGACGGAGGTGAAGTGACCGTGTTCAGTGATGGGCTACCTGGTTTTCCGGATAATATCAAAGCCAGTCCACGTGGTGGATATTGGGTCCCTGTATCACCTCTTCGTGACGAGCCTCTATCTGAACTTCTACTCAATTATCTACCAGCTTATCCTTGTATTCGTCAGTTGGCTTCCAGTGTACGGTTAATAATATTCCTGCATTTTTATAATCAATATTTTCCATCTTATTGTCAATCCATTTTTGAATTTTTTGGCAGTCGAGTATTAAACCTATAAGAGTGTATGTAGACATTTTCAAATTCAACCAACTAATGACATGGCAGTACAATCACATAATGGCATTGAGAAAGACTGTCTCATTACCGGCATGGTTGACCTCCACCAGTCTTGAATTCCCAGTAAAACCTACTGAACTCATTTCAGAGAAAATGAATAGGGATCAAACGATTCTATATCGGTGCCTTAGCAGGGGCAAACGCTGAGGGGTTCTGCACTGCAACGGAACAACTGAGAAATGTTCCCTGGTTTTCACTGGTACCTTAACTAATGTGAATCTGTAGCTAAAGCTAATTACGAAGTAAAATAAACTTCACAATACCTTCAAAATGAATTATGATACAGGTAGATCAGAGAATCTAGTGACACATATTAAACTTCTATGCAATTTCCCACCAAACTAAGTAAGAATTCAGTATTTCATTATTTTTTTCTATCTTTGCAACAGATTATCTCCATGCTTCCATTCACACTAATCCCGAAAGGAAAATCATCAATGTTAATTCGTTTAGATGAAAATGGACAGATAATTGAAATTTGGAAAGATTTTCAAAATGAATTACCAAATGCTTGTGAAGTACTAGAACATGATGATACTTTATACACTGGAAGCTTTTATCTACCTTACATTGGTCGTTTAAGAAGATTGTCAAATTAATTTTTATAAAATTTGAAAATCTTTAGTTCCAGAAGATGAATACTGTGTAATTTGATGTTGTTGTCGTTGTTATTCATTCAGCACATTGATGATAAATACTTTCCATGTTTTTATTTGACTTATCTTTAAGACATTCATCAGTATCTTGTTTTCTTATGTTTTTTCGTTGTTGTTGTTGTCATTGTTGGTAGTTTGACTTAGTTATTTCTCAATATTTAATTATTCTGTACTAATTGTGTAATGTGTGAATTACTTAATCAATGATAAATGACACAATGCCATTTACATTTATTAAATCAATCAGGTCATCTTTAATTATCTGTCTATAAATCAGTTAGCTAAATTCGGTAATTGATATCATTATGCATGTTAACTTGGTTATGTTACGTAATACTTGTGGTTATTACAAAACGTTGATAAAAAGAAAATGATACAGATGTAGATTTGCTTTCTTTTTTCTAGCAGCGATCCGATCATACCAATTAATGCTTAAACTAAAACTTATTTCATTTACTAAAATAGTTGTAAAATAATTATTCGAGGTACACCAATGTCAGATAATTATTTCCTTAGAAGGAAAATGAAGTAACTAATTTATTATCTAAGTGGTATACAAAGTGCTGCAACCAGTTACTCAGCTGATTACTCTAGCATTGATATATATATATATATATATATA